AGGATGGAATGATAGGGTGACATTCGAGTGGGAATCTCAACTCAGCAAAATAGAGTCTTTCTACCTGTTCCTTCTACCTGTTCCTATTGCCTGTGCTTTTCATTGTATTTCCGATTTAATAATCAGAGATCTGTTTTCTGTGGCTGAACTAGTGTTCACTTTTGGAACTTAAAGTGAGATAAACATTTTGTGATACAATATTTTTTTAAAGCGAGAAAGAAAGTTCTAGAATAGTCTAGTGCAGAAACAGAAAACAGACCACTGACTATTTTGCACATCTTCATTATTGTTAGTCTATGGCCTAGTTTCCACCGAGGGTTTAAACCGGAAATCGGATCAGAATGTAAAAACCAATCAACTACAATCGTTCGACTGTAACAGGGGAATACTCGACTGTAGTTGGTTGGTTGGTTTTTACATTTTTATCCTGTTTAAATCCTCGATGGAAACTAGACCTATGTTGCATATGTCAGTAACGTTTTTAGTTGCTATCAGCTGACTAACGGCGTTGTTTCGCGCCGACGAATCTAAATAACGAGAGTTAAAAAGGCGGGCTTTGGCTTTGGTAGGGTTATATTGGGGATAACGGTACGCAATACGTTGTACGTGGTACGTTTGCGAAAATAACAACTTGTTCGCGTTTGCGATCGACATACGTAAAAGAGACTATGTCGCAACCATCAGTAACGGCATACTTTAATACGCGCAAACGGCAGGGGTGCGACGAATTACGTGCCAAGTCGAAGATTTTGCTGCTGGAGCGAGATAATCAAACACAGACGAGTATCGAGAATTTGGAGAAATCTCCAACAAATACGGGAACTAGTCCGAAAATCGTGTTGCAGAATGCTACGATGTTGAAGGAAGGTGCTCGGGTTAATAAAGCGGTCCGTAATATCCAGTTCGATTCTTCGAAAACGATCCCCGAGAAAATGAGTAAACCTAGAACACGAGCCACTCGCTCTCGTCCATTGCCCTCTATGGATGGAAGTCAAGCGGATATTAGAGATAGCTTTTTGAAGGTGGGCAATGATTCCTCGGAGATGAAAAAAGTTCCCTTTGAAAAAAAAGGTATGCTTAGTCCGAAGAAGTCGCAGACACCTAAGAAGACATTGAAGGATAACGCGATGAAAGAAAAGGAACATTCTGCCAACAGTTCTCTCACTTCATCCTCGTCAAGAAAGCTTTCAACGATGGAGAGACTTGTAAAAAATGAAAATTTAAACTTGACTGACATCAAAAACAGAATTAATAAATCTTCTAGATTGGCAGAGCTGAAAGCTATAACGCAACAATTTGCTAAGTATGATATGGCATTGGAACAATTGCAAAAACAGGATGAGATTAAGAAACCTCATATGCAAAAGTTTGAGAAGGTGGAACTCGAAATACCCGTAAGGTAAAAATCTTATTTGTGAATTTAATTATCAAATGTATACATATGTATATAGATATCCTATCATTTTCTTTATTTTTTTTTCTCCATACAAAGCCCACAAAAGACGTACAAATCTCCAACCAAGGGATTACTTACTCCAATCAAGGAGAGAGATTTGTCAAAGACAGCCAGTCCCCAGAGGCAAATTTTGTTTGAGCCTAAAGAAACAGTATCAAGTCCAGGAAAATCCAGTCCTATTAAGGCATATCAGAAATATCTGTCAGTGGCTGAATCTGGATTAGCATTGCCATATGATTATAGATTCCTAGCTGAAATATTCAGATGCGTAGATACGGTAGTACTCTTGTGAATCTGTTAATATATATTTTTATTTTAACTTTTACTTTGCAGACTTTAATTTTTACTTTATACCTTGTTAATTATTTTGTCATTTAAATTTATGTTTATGATATAAAATGTGTTAAGCAATCAATTTTATCTTTAGGTTTCAGCAATGCTGTTTAACAGAAAAGAATTGATAACATTTAATAAACTGAGACCTGCAGTTCAAGAATTGCTACGTCGTAATTTTACGCAAGAGCACCTAGCTCAAATAAAAACTATTTACCCTGATGCATATGTATACCATCAAGAGAAACATCGAAATTTTGGTTCAGTGTCCAAGCAAGAAAAATACGAATTAGTTCTAACACCTACGGTTGAAAAAGTTAATGGGAGAAATACGCCTGATGCAGATAACATATTAAAAACTGCGTCTGAAAGTAGTATGAGTCCTACTATACTGCTGGAAAGAAGAAAGAAATTTTATAATGCTTTATTAGGTACATATTCTTTCTTTTCAAATGATTTTATCATCAACCAATCAAATATAAAACACACACACACACACACACACACACACACATATGTATCTTTAATTTATTGTTGCAGAGAGGGTAAAGATTGAACATGAAAAATTTTTATTGACCTTTGAAACTCCGAAATTAATGAATATACCAAGAGAGAAAATAGTACGCTGGCATCCCGAATTTGATGTGGAATCTTGCAAGAAAATTGAGCAAGCTGCATTACCACAACCACCTTATGTTGAAAAACCAACTGCAAGGGATGTTCTTGGTAAGAATTATGACATTGATGGTAGAAATAAGAATTTTGGACAAATTTTATTCTATTGCTATTATAAAAAAAAAATTATTGAAACTATTATTGTAATTTATACACCTACTACAGAAATTCATAAGATATCAGGATAATATAAAAAATGCAGATATAGTTCTATTATTGTATATAGTTCTATTATTGTATATTATATGCATGTATCACACTCAATGATATAATATGATCTTAATTTGAATGACAACTTTAAGTAGGACAAAAAAATTGCACAAAAAGTTGCAAAATAACAATGCGTTTGCGTAGTTGTGAAACTCGGTTTTTAGCTGTTGCAAAACTTTATTGATTAATCAGCATATAACGCAATCGGTATAAAGGTACTGCTTATGCGTAATACTTAAGCAGTTACATTATCCTCGCATTATGCGCTACCCAACCCAATACTTAATTAATAAATTAACTGTAGAGAATGGATTTAAAGTGTCACTTCAAAAAGATCAAGTTATTCGTAGAATATGTAGGTTTCTCTTGTTTTTTTAATTAATGTGGTCTAGCAAAACAGCTATAAGATATTTACACATGAATATTTTTCATTCGTATTATTTATTTATTTATTTATTTATTTATTTACTTACAGACAAAGCTAAATCTTTGTTTAATTGTGGTACACGTATGGAAAAGGCATTACAAAGGCTCGCTGAAGCAAATCTAACTACTAAATCCAAATCTTCACCTTCTACACAAGATTCTACAACTCAAACAACAAAAGATGATATTCCAAAGGTTAACATTGCCATTGTGGACACTCCATCAAGTACGCCATCCATACAAACTGATCACTTCGCTACACTATTTAAAGGCATCCCTAAGGCTCTGCTCGAAAAGGTAAGAATAAAATTGCTTTGAAATGGTAGTTGATATTCAACGTTTGCGATTTTATTTATGTTTTAAAACTAATTACCGTTGTTTCTTCTCCTGAATTTTCATAATTATAGGTTCGTGCTAAACAAGCAGCCAAGGCATTAGAAGCAATGACGAGAACACCAAACGCAGACAAAGAGGCTACGTTATATTCCAGACTTCCCGAATTAGCAAAGCTCATTCGCAATATTTTCGTGACGGAAAAGAAGGGTGTTTTACCACTGGAGATAGTCATACAAAAGTTAGACAATTCTTTTAGAACGAAATTAATGTTACAAGAAATGGAGGAACACATACGACAACTGTGCAAGCTTTTACCTACGTGGGCCAGTATACATAACGTACGAAAGGTGGATTATTTGAAATTAGATAAAAATGTTGAACTTGCTAAAGTGATTAATCAATTAGAAATTTTAGCCAATGATAAAGTTAAGATAGCGTCTTAATTTGTATATTCCGATAAATTATATTTTGGATATCGCTGCATTTTTACCTAATAGTGAAACTATTATGCTACTTAAGTTTGAAGATCTTAATTTGCACATTTACATCTTTATCATGATAAAAAAAGAGGACTGCATTTTATTATATGTAATTTATGACATTACCATTTGTTCTTCACACTTCACAGAGCATTTTTAGTAAATATGAAACTATGAAGTATGAAATAAAATGTAACAAATGGGAATATACATATACATGCAACATTTTATATTTTCTTTTCCTATTTTATTGCTTATATTAATAAATTATAATTACTGTATTATATATTAATTTGAAGGATTGTTTGTTCAGTAAAATGCAATGATCTTATTAATGTGAATAATATTATGATGTGAGACTATTTTCAAAAAAGAATATCAATGGATTCGTTACTTAAGAAATTAGAGTAGAATAAATTATATAAGAAATTTGCTATATTTATTAAGTAAAGCTGCTGACAATATTTGTGCATTGCCTCTGATTTTAGTGTGTATGTTTATTAATAAAGCTATTGAAAAAAATAACTTCTGGATAAATTATGTTTTCATATATCCGATAAATTATAATTATAATAAAAATACTTATACGTATGTATGTAATTATATATAATCTGTATATTTACATGCACGCCTCATACAGATTTATTTAAATACGTTTATTAATTTCACATTTAAAACTTAATAAAAATTATATTTATACAGTAGTTTGCGAAATTAATATCAAATATTTGTTAATTGATAATATATCATATCTAATTTCATCTTTTGAAAATTTTGATACATTTTAAGTTGTTTCCACTGTTTTTATATAGTTTATTTTTATGATCTTTTTAATTTATGCTTATTTATTACAACTTTTAAATTAAACAAATATGGATATATGTGTATGAATAAAAAAGTGTGTGTGTGTTTCTTTACCAACAAGTACAAAAAACGATGAAAGATTGCTATATTGTCTGTAATTGTTAAGAAAGATTTATTATATGCGCTAATATCTTGCGATAACTTTACGACAGCTGGACGTTTATGAAAATGTCCAGCTGGTGTCAGCGAATATGCACATATATATGGATGTGCGTGTGCGCGCGCGTACACTTGGACGATTTCTAACCTTTTCTTTCAAGTTGAACGAATCAATTGTATTGTTGTATTTACTGTAATCTCATGACATTTATTCACAGTATACTGCACGTAGTTTTAAAGTTGCACTGAAAGAAATTTTTGAAATATCATGTTCCTAACAAACATACTGTTGAGAAAGGCAAAGAGCAAGTAAGTAAAACCATTAATAAAACCGAACAAAAATTTAAGGTTAGAATTCGTGTATATTCACGAAAAATGCCAATTTTTAGTGGGAATAATATAAAATATATGCCATAATTCATATTTTATGAAAAAAATTGATTTACTAAGTGTTAATTGGACATAATATGTTAACGATTAAAAAATATTTATTATTAATTTTGATCTCATTATAGGCGTGTCTTAGTCCTTACACAAAGTGTTGTAACCGGTCATCAGTTAGTGCGCATCAGAGACAGATTAGCTGATAAATTAGAATTTAGATCCTTTGATCCTTATAGTAAGTAATTATTTATACACACGTACATATAAGATTATGTACGTTAATTACAATAATAATAAAGGAAAGAACATAATTGAATAAAATAATTGTATGTTATGTGTATACAAATGTTCAATATATTTTATAAAACATTGCATATATTATATTTTTCTTTAATAATAATATATATAATTTTTAATAAATAGTAATTACAGTATACATTAGAATGTACATTATGAGATATTATTTGATACTTGAAACTAATTTATGATTTCTTTTTGCAGTTCGAAAGGTCACGTTATACAAAGAAAAGAGAAAATTATGTAGCTTATAATTTACAACTATTATAGTATACTTAACAAATATTATATTAGGTGCGCAACTAAGTTCTCGCTGTTATTTTGATGGAAATGCCATCAAAATAACAGCGAGAACTTAGTTGCGTACCTAATACAATACTACTTGAAAAATTTCTATGTGGAGGATAACATGCAAAAAATTTATTGTCTCAAGTACAGTGTAACATTCAGTCTGATTTTTATTTATTATATTCAAATATAATATCCCAAAGTGTGTAACACACAATATAATAATAATAACATGATATGTCTCTATGTCTAATCTATTATGAAAATATAGTTATCTTATATAAATATATGATGTAAGCAGTAATAAATATAATAAACAGAAAATATCAAGCATACACTGATAATGTAATATAAATGACTGTAAATAAATGAAAAAAATCATATGATAAAATATTGCTCTTGTTTGACTTTATTATATAAAAGTACAATTTTGTCTTATTATTTACAGATTTGTAATTAGTTATTGACTATAATTCCAAATATATACTGATTTGACATCCTCCCTCTCTCTCCCTGGAAAGTCGGGAAGTTCCAGGTTTAATTCCTAGCTGAAACAATATTGAATTTAGAATAAAGAATATACATAAAATAGGACACCTAATCATTGTAAAATATATAATATTGTTCATAATTTCGGTTATCGGTTTTAGCCATTCTCAGCAAATACATAATATATTAATAAAGAATACCTTTTATCTCACTTTTCAACTGGATAGAAGATATTCTTTGTTAATATATTAATATATTATGTAGTTGCTGAAGATGGCTAAACGTTCAAACTAACATCTTTTAATACACATTATACTATTAATGATTATATAAGTGTAGATTGTGCACATCTCTTACCGCGTTGACTTCAAAGTAGCTTCCTTAAATCTGTATTATATTAAAACAATATTTTTTGCAATAAATTCTTTACAGATTTTTCTAATTTAATACAATTTAGGAAGGATTATTAGTATTTCAGATTAATTGTGTTGGAAAGTTGGAAAGTTATTGGCGCACAATCATGTCTGAAATGAATTTATTTAATAAATATGTAGGTAATGATAATATTTGAAACATCCAACTTTGATTTAATTAGCTGTTTCATATCATAATGATTTGACGTTCGAATGCATTCAGTTTAAGATTATAATTTGATGAATTTATAAAAAAAAAAGGCAAAGAAGCTTTCATCACATAGATAATCTCATTTTACGTAACATTATTGAAAGTTATCAAATAAAATAAAATGCTTGGTGAACAAATGTTTTGTCTAAGTTTCATTCGGTCATGTCGAAAGGACAGAAAGCGAAAGAGAGGCAAACGGAGAATCGGCGAGAGACCAGCCAAGAGTCTCGACATCGAGATTGGGGGTAGATTTCCTTTGATCCTTAACAAGGAACACAAAGTTGTATTATTTCCACCTGGGTTTCAAACGGTTCAAGATCCGCCAGGCGTGAAACACGATCCGCCCTCTCTCTCTTTCTTTCTCTTCATCTCTCACTCGCTTAGACTTTTCTGAGATGTTGGAGACTTGTCTCACTACTTATTCTCTCTCTCTCTCTCATCTTCATTCCCTTCCTGTTTTTCACTCAGTTTTGATTGAGGGAGCAACGGCAAAGTCGCGCAGTTTACTGATGTTACAAATTCAATTTCTCCTTAGCCCAGATCATTGTCCACAGGAAAGGGGGGAGACCGCAGAAGAGATTATATCCTGGAAAGAGAATCGTCTTTATCTTTCGCGATTGTGCGTGTGACAGCTCGTGAAGGTCGAAATCTTCACTACTTTTTTCCATATCTCTCTCTCTCTCTCTCTCTCTCTCTCTCTCTGAAGAAAATATTTCTTGCTGGATATGCACGCACGCAAACCTACAATCGTGAGACAAGCATTTTAGCCGCGCGACAAGCCAAAAAGAATACAAAACAAATCTTTCAACATGCACATTTTGAAACGTCACGTCAATTTTGTATCTCGCAGATTAATTTTTAGCAAATATAATAATATTAATTGTCAACTTTTGGTATCATGTGTAAGAGGACGATTGACCTCTAAATTAATAAAATTCATTCAAATCAAATATATATATAAAAGAAAGTTATTTTAATTATATCATTTATACAAATACATGAGAGAATCGATTCTATATCTTCAAACAAAGTGAAAATTACAAAAGTGAGCAAATTTACTATGTGTGTTGACCAATGAAATTATTCGGTATTCTAGTAAATTCGCTCACTTTTGTAATGTTTACCTCGTTTCAAGATACAGAATTCCAAGAATGCGAGTTTATTCAGTCATTTGTTGGAAATCGCGCGACAATTCAGTTATCAATATGCATTTGATTAACTTGCACTTACTACATAAAATTCTCGCTTTGCAAGTGGAGTAATCCACTGTAATTCGTGATGCTAACAATAAGAAAAAGAGAAAAAGATTTGTTTTTCAACACGAAAAATGCCAGTAGAGAATTTGTGGGGAATCGTAAGAGAAGAGAAAGCGGGAAAGAGACAAGTGTAAACAGATGCGGAAGGAGTCTGGTCGCTTTTTCCGGGAGCGTTTCAGTCAGTTTCAGTTGCCTCGTGCATTCAAGGGTGTTTTTTCTTTTTGCGTCCGCACGAGTTATTCTCCGCGCTTGTTAACAGTGTGCGCGAGCTCGCTAAAGTGGCCTCACTGCTAATTAACTGCGTTATTTTTTACAACTCTCTCGCGCATTTCTATTCGTCATTGCTCTCCTCCCCTTAACTGCCGCTCTTCTCTTCTCTTCGGCGCGGCGCGGCGCCCACCCTGCGTAAGGGCGGCCAAGTTCAATATTTTTCGAGAGTGCAGTGGCTTCCGTTTTATTTATCCGCCATGATCTTAATCATAAAAAAAGAGGAAGGCTTGTAACAACTAAAAAGGAAATTAAAAAGTTATAGTTTAGAGTAAATATGCAAGAGTAAAGTCGAATTTTTTAATATATTAAATCATATTGGTTCTACGATAGTTTCAATAAAGTTTACTAAAGTTATTCACTCTTCTGTGTTATTTGCGAAAGAAGCGACGAATGTTTCAACGTCAAGCTTATAAATACAGCATTGTAATATCTTGTACGCTCGCATCTATTGAAACATTTTATTGGAAGAACTATTAGAATATATAATTTAAACCGAGTTCGATCTAGGGTTTTTAGAAATCTCGGGCTTTAATTTTTAGGGCTTTCACAATTGTTCAAAATTTAGTTATATCCGTGTTATTCTATTACTTCAAGAGAGCGTGTGCGTGAACAGCAGAATGGCGTTATCGCGATTTACATTTTGATCGTCCTTTTTTTCCGACGGACATGATGAGCTCATCATCGCGACTATTAAGCTGTAATAATCTGCGAAATAACTTAATAATTAGTGACGCAAGCGACTTTAAGTCGACTAATCTGTACGAATGAAAGAAGACATATGATATCGGATATATGTATTTATTGTAACTCAGAAGTGTTTAAAACTGTTTCCTGTATATGTGATATTTCCGTTGACTATAGAAAGCAATTACAGCAGTATATTGTCAATTTATAATTTATAGAATTAAATGTTTACTATTTCAATAATTAAATACACTTAAAAATTTTGAACAGAGAGAGAGCGTGAATTAATTAATAATTTATTTGAGGCTAAGTCTGGGATATAGTCACTGCCAACAAGAGCAAAGAGGTATAATAATTTAATCCGCGCGTAGGGATATAAGATCATACGTATAAGGATCTGAGCACAAGAATTGTCGTAACACTTACTTAGAGACTTAAATTGTAGACGTAAGTAACGCACAAGCTTTGGCGTTTGACGTACGATTTATTGCCGTTTCTTGGAGACACTTCTACAATTAAAATCTCTAAGTAAGTGTTACGATAATTCTTGTGCTCAGACGCTAAGAATATCGACGCCTGAGTCGTAGAAGGCTATATCAAGAAAAACATGAAGAAAGGTTTATGTCAAGAAATGAATCATGAATGAAAAGCGGTCTATTTCGTATAAGGCGTGAAGATCGGCCTATGTCGGAACGCATACGAAGTACGGTTTATATCGAGAAAATGAGAAGAACGGTTCAAGTCAGTTCAAGTAGTATGAAATTAAAGAAGAGGTATAGCGCAATATATTTTCTTCTCATAAATTTTATAGTGCTATGACAGAATAGGAATCGTCTTGATTTTCAATCCTGTTTCTCGCACTCATTTTATTCGTATATTATTTAATTTTCTGTAACTAAATTTGTGTAATTTATGAGTAGTGACTAGTATTGCACTATCTATATATATAGACCGTTCTAATTTTATGTGACTTGAACCGTTCTTCTTATTTCCTTGGTATAACTTCGTATTTCGTATGCGTTTTCGACATAAACCGGTCTTCACGTTTCACGCGAAATAGACCGCTTTGCATTCATTTCTTGATAGAAACCTTTCTTCACGTTTTTTTTCGATGTAGCACTTTCTACGACTAAGGCGTCGATATATAATATCAGTGTCGGTCGCGATGGTATAAGATGTAAGATCAGTAAGATGGAGATGGTATCTCTCTGCACCGCATCGGGGCCGTCGGATGGTCGGGTCGGATCGGATCGGGTCGGTCGGGGTAGACGCGGGCGACGCGGGCGACGCGGGTGACGCGACGCCGCGCCGGTGGCGGTGGCGGTGCGGTGGTGGCACGGCACCCTTCTTTTCTCCGCCACGAAAAGGTACTTGAAATAAATTGAAAATGGCTGGTATCGCTCTGGCCCCCGGACAAGTGATACCTACATCATCTACACGCACACTAGCCTCCCCCCCTTTCATCGCCTTTCACCCTCTACCTCCCCCCCTCCCTCTATCTCCGTTCCGCGTTCTTTCATGAATTCGAAACGCGCGGCGACGTTCGAATCAGATCGGAATCCGGCCGAATCATTTCAATTAATTCAATTGAGGGTAGATAGGTAGGTAGGTAGGTAGGTAGGTAGGTAGGTGGGTAGGTAGGTAGGTGGATGGAGAAGGAGCGAGGGAGAAATAGTGCGTGTCTCGAGAAAGTTTGTATGAGAAGCTTGTTAATCGGGACTGTATT